GTTCAAGTCCTAGACCCAGCAGCTTGAAAATCACACTGGACATGTGTGTGTGTGCATGCCCAGAATCCTGAGAGGAGAGGAGATTGTCTTGTGGCCATCGCCCTGGGGATTAATTTCTCACTTTCTCGTTCTCTGTCTCCTGTGAGTTCACATACCCTATGGCAAAAACCTAAAAAGAAAAGAAAAAGAAAAAGAACAAAGGCAGATGAATATTCAGTGGAAATCTTGAGCCCCAGAGGTTGCCTTATCTTCTCCTTAAACCTGCTTTAGTCTTTCCCCAGTGTTTTAAGCTTTCTTGGGAAGCGTATGGCCCATGAGGAGGAAGATTCTTCCTGTCTACCCTCCATGCTTCCTGTTGCATTGGGAGTGAATGGAGGTTGAGTCAAGGGTCTGGCCCTGACCTCTCATGGTTCTACTCAGGCCTCCCACTTGGAATTGTCCCTCTGCTGCCCCCTTGCTCCTGCCTGGCCTTTTACTCCACCCTCTGGCCTTCTCACCACAACCCAGGCTGTTTTCAACTCAGCCTTTGATAGCAAAATAGAAGCGGTGGGGGGTGGGAGGGGATCAGTATGGCCTCCCCTTTGTGGAGTTCAAGGTAAGTCAGACTAAGGGAAAACGGCAGAAAGTGGGTACTCCTGCTGCTTCTGACACGCCACACCCCTGACTGGCACTGGGGTCCTGTGAGCCAGGCAGCCTCAGATGCCCACTGCTTGACTCTTGTCTCTTTCCTTTCTTTTCCTTTCTCCCATCATTTTGACAGCTACAGAGTTGAACTTGAAGCTGAGCCAGGGCACTGTTCCAGCTCTCATCCCTGACCTCTCCTCAAGAGTTTGTTCCTGGCATCCTTTCCCTGCCTGGACCTGTCCCCACTCTGCTCCCAGCTCCTCCCAGGCAATCTTTAACTGATGCCGAATCCTGTAGACATTTATAAATAGTCTTCCTTCCTCCCCACCCTCCCCCAGCATCCTCAGGCCACTCATTTAAGAATTTTTTCTTTCTGAGACATAAGCGGTTGAGTTTGGCTTTTCTCTCAAACTCTCTCCGTTGGTTAGGAGGGAGACAAGGTGGGAACACTACCCCACGAGCACTTGTTCCCCACATGAGCCCTTTTTTGGATCACTGTCATGATCCTCCTGCCTCAGTCTCCCAGCAGAGACCACAGAAGTGCACTGCCATGCCTGGCCTTTCAGGTTGGCCTGGGAATTGAACCTAGGCCTTCCATATGGTCCCAGCCTGTTGAGCATGGTATCTCAGCAGCCTGTGAGACTGCAGCTGGGCCTAGCATGTGCCTCTTGTGAAACACATGCCTTCTAGTCTTGCCAACCATCCCATCTTTCTTTTCTTTTTGAGAAGTTTTTGCTATAGGGCTCATGCGCTTGTCAGAAAGACAGAGAGACAGAAAGTGAGAAATCACCCCCCCCGGGGGGATGGCCACCCCGCAGTCCCTTCTCTTCCGTTCTCCTGTCGGGATCTTGGGCACACATGCACACATGCCTGGGGTGTGAGTTTAAGCCACCGGGTCTGGGACTTGACTACATGGGAGTCTAGTGACAGCCATTACACCAACTGCTGGTCCCCCATCCCATCTTTCAAACAAGAGTGACTTACCAGTTTCTCCCATCCCCGTGGCTCCTGGCCTCCTCTCTCCTGTCCCTTCTCACTCTTCACTGTATTTCTGACCCAACAATCAGAGTCGTGCCAGACTAGGGGAGGCTGTGAG